ACAGTATGTACTTATTACTGAAGTATTATTTATACAAGTGTTTCATTCATCTATGAAGACTTTTTCGGTGAATTTTAAACAAGACCGATATAAATTTCCTTTATCTAAATATAAAACTGTCAAACATCGCTTAACTAAAAATCACATTTTCTCATATGTCAATTCATGGCCACACACAGTACAAGTCTTCCGGTACATGTCATCTTCTAGGCTTTCTTCTGGTCCATACTCATGCTGGTGAGCAGCTGTTTCCCTTTTCCAAACACTGCTTCTTACTGCTCGCCGTAATTCTAAGAAGGAAAAGGCCAGTTTTCAGTGGTGCTATTCAGCTGAACCCTGAAAAATCCATTATGCATGCACATATGTTTAAACCAAATATGGTTTACCTTAACTTTATAACATCCAAATTGATTTTATAAACTTACCAGGTTAGCCTGTGAAAAGTCATTGTTGGAGTAGTATGAAATGGGAAATTCAGAAATGGAGTGTGTTAACCAAAAAAAAAAGATGAATAAAGAACAGGGTTTGTTCAAGCAACTGCTGATGGAAGACAGGATACCACAGCATGAAAGGGGGTTAGCTGGGATAACTGAGGACAAGGAACATTTTTAAGCTCCATCTAAGTCAGGAACTTCTATAAGAGTCAAGGCAAGCTTTGCTTGAAAGAACACTGGAAAGCCAAAAACTCTGATGCTATGCTCATGTTTCATCTTAGAAAAGCTGCTTTGGTCAGTTCATCTTAAGTCTATGAAATTCTTTATCCTATGAAATGAGCAATATTTTAGGAGAGAAACTGCTAATAACTATTGCAAAGTACAACCATAAGAATCACAGCCTATTAAAGCTAGAAAGAACAATAGTTTTTATTTTACTTCATTTTATTTTACAGGTAAGAAAACTGAGCAAAGTCAGCATGTAAACTCAGGTCATTTGTTCCAATGTTTAGAATTTTTTCCACTACATAATGTTAAAAAGTCATTTTACAAAGAAAATGTTAGATGCTTTGAAATGCAACTAAGTCAATCACATTTTAAAAGTTCACATAGCATATTACCTGAAGAAACCAAATGCTTAGTGTTAATTGTAAATCAATATGCTAATAACTCCTCAGTTTCTAGCTTAATCATTAAAAAACAAAGCTAGTTGTTTACATTTTTTCTTAATCTGACCAATGATCCATCAAGCCAGGCACTCTTTGATACAATCTAAGGGAGAGTATGTTATCTTTTATAACAACCATAAAAAGCAACATACACCACATTATCACACGTTTTCTCCATTTTAGATCTATATCAAAATGCTACTTGAATCTTTGTATTTTCAGCCTTTATAAGGATAAGCAAACATATATTAGGCACTGACTGCTCTAAGCACTTTTATAAACATTTAATCCTCACAATCCTTTAAGATAAGTCCAACTATCATCTCAATTTTATATACAAGAAAACAAAGGCACAGAGAAGTTAATAGGAACTGTGCCTAAAGTCAAACAGCTAGCCAAACTCTAGTCTTTATTCCTGTATCATCTCCTTCTGAAGAACCCGAATTTTCCTAGATATATACAAAATGCCCTCTATCCTTTTATTTTATTTTACTTCAGGACATTTTCTAAATTAAAAATAAAGGAAATGATATGCTGACCAGAACTACACAGATGCCTCAGTTTCAAATGACAGGAAGATGTCTCCTGCTAGACTGGATCCTGCACTAGAATGAAAATGAAAATCATACAGGACATTACTGGGTCAGTTAACAGAACTAGAATATGGGTGACAAAAATATCAACACTATACTTTTTTTTTTTTTTTTTTGGTAAAAGAACAGTCCTGTTCTTAGGAAATATACACTGTACTATTTAGGGGTGAAAAGTGATGACGTATGCACCTTAAATGGTACAGAAAAAAATATTTATAGATAAGAGAATGCAAATGATGCAAATGGCATAAAGTGTTAACAACAGGTAAATCTAGGTAAAGGATATATGGGTATCCTTTTTACTATTCTTGCAATTTTATGTAAGTTTGTAATTCTTTACAAAAAAGAAAAAGAAAACAGGAGCTAGCTTGAAGGGGCTTCCACTGGCCACATTTTAGACAATATGAGAATCCAAATGAATAATGATAGGAATGGACTGCCACACTGATTTGATAATAAGAATCCATAAATCCAAATGGTACTAAAAAGAGCTCTTCTAAAAGAAGCTAAATAATTATAGAAAGAATAACAAAAATAGAAAATCACCATTTATATCCAGCCTAATAATAACTGACTCAAGCAAGAATCATGCCCACGTACTAAAAACACTGAGTGAAACTTAAGGAATGAGATGTTCACAGTGTCAAAGAGTCACCCCACAGGTTTCCTATTAATTACACAGGGGAAAGGGAACCTTTACAATGGCAAAATCTGGCAGATGCTGTCTTAACCAAGCAATCAAACTGCATATCACCCTTAGAGGAGAACTGGTATGTCTCCTGATGTGATGCACTCGACACATCATCACTTAGGAAGTATTCCTACCAAAAATGTTTGACCTGAATCTAATCATGAGGAAACATGCTGCTAATAAATCCAAATGGAGGGCCATTCCACAAAACAGGTGGCCTTGACTCAAAAGTGTCAATGTCATGAAAGATAAAAAGATTGAGGAACTAAAAGAGACTATAGATATGCATCATCCTTGACTGGCCCCTGGATCTAACAGCTAAAAAGCTAGAAAGGACATTGGAACAACCGGAGAAAGATAAATATAGATATATACTAGATAATAGCTTTAATGTTAAATTTATTGTGTGATCACTGTTTTTTAGTTATGTAGAAGAATGTTGTTTTTAGGAAACAATACGAAGTACTGAATAAGAATCACAATGTCTCCAAGTAACTCTTAAACAGTTCAGCAAAATATATGTATATGTGTGAGAGAAAAAAGCACACATGACAAACCGTCAACATCTGGTGAAATAAAAATTGTTCAAATTAACAATACGTTTTTCACATTACTTCATTTAAGCAACTTAAAACTTCGGCAAGTAGAGATCAACTATCTACTGCTGAGGATGAGAAGAGGATGGCGGAAAGGTCAGAGACTTTACAAGAATGGGAAAGGATCTGATAGGCCTTGGGAGCTGAGGAAACCTTGAAGGTGGGGTGAGCGGGGATGGACCTAGCAGCACTGAAAGCACAATTAAAGCCAGAAAACAAAACAATGGTTTACCATGATACAACCTCCTAGTCTCATTGGCCTTGAATTTCACAACACAAAAAGCTGAGCAATACCTCAACTAGATATTAAAATGTTCATAAAATGTTCAATCTTGCTACTGATATCTTCAGAGACTGCTTATTCTTTTTACCCAGAGACATTTTCCCCAAATCCTTGTTGCAATGAAAAATTAGTACCACTCTAAAACTTGCATTAATTTGGCTTACTCTTAATTTTCCAAAAAGAGGCAGCCTGTAATCAAAAAAAGCCTAATGCTGCTTATGAGGTAAACTTATAAATAGCTGAGGGAGACCCCATACTTTAAAAATCTGGATGAGAAGGCAAGAAGTTTTGACATACAGCACCCCTTGTTAACTAGAGAAAGTCAGAAGGAAATGACAAAACGTGAAGTTTTGCTCTTATTTTGTCTTCCATAAACTGAAGCCGAATAACAGGGACTGTGCCCTTCACACTCCTCTAAGAAAAGCTCGAAAAGTCACATATAACCACAGGCCCAACATGTAAAATGTCCACAAATGCAGGGGTCCCAAAATGAGATTTTCTTACCCACCTCTTTTGGGGGCAAAGTGCATAGTAACAAACAATGAAGATTAACTTTCTTTTTTAGGAGGCTAACCACTACCAGTACTATGTAAGAAGAAGCTGAGTATAACTTTAAAAAAAAGCCTTACCTCCACCTTATTTGTAGAAATTTGTAAACTCAAAACATTCTGTGTATCTGTACCAACTGAAAGTTCCATCCAATATCAAGGCCGACGTATACTGCATTTTCTGAAATCCACTTACACTGAGCAGCAATAATACCATTTCTACTTGTGCCTTCTTGGATCTACGATCTATAACAATTTGAATTTGCTGACAAAATTCTTGTTTTTCACCTTGTCTATATTTATAAATACCTTATACTATCTACACTTTTAATATTCTTCCGTAGTAAGATCAATTATTTCTGAAACTGCTAAAGCAAAATTTTGTATTCCAAAAGCAGGTAAATGTAATCTCTTACCTTTCCATAAAGAAGTAAATTTTGTGTCAGCTTCTTTGTGGATCAAAATCAGAAGACCAAGAGGAACCAGGTTCCAAGTTCTTTTCAACTAAAAAACTTTTTGATTTCCTTCTATTCCTCTCTGTCCTGAGCCTTCTGAGCAAACTGCATAGCAAGCTCCTTGTTTCTAATCTCTACAGTGTCTACTCCACTCTCAGCCCCTTGTGGCCTAGTCAGGAGGACAGGAGCATATCCACCAACCTCTAAAGTAAATCAACAAGAAGAAGGCATAATTAAAGAAGGCATCACATTGACCTCTGCACATTAAACACCAGGAGACAATGGAGTAATGTTTATACAAAGGAGAGAAAACCTAGGTTTTCTTATACAAAAGAAACAGAGAAACATTCTTAGATTTGTAGGGACTTGGAACTCAAGTAACCCCTCATGTAACCACTTGGGAAAATTTCCTCAAAAGACATTCTTCATCCAAATAAGAAATGAGCTGAATTAAAGAGGTCTTAAGAGGTCAAAGAAAAATTCAAGACAAATTTGAACTCTTTAAGGATAAGAAAAATCAATAGTAGTTAACTGATGATTAATACAGGAATTTAATATAGTGAGGAAAAACAGCCAATTATATTTGAGCTTTTACTTCTTTTAAAGAATACCTATGAAAATTGTGTAAATCTTAAAAGAAATTTTCTATTCATACTAATATTTAAATAATCCACAGAATTATATTAATAGAATTTTATAAAGCATAATGAAATGAAACTGATGTCATAATCTTTGTTAGTCAAATTATAAATATTTAGTCACCTTGAGATATCTAGACCATACTACAGAAATAGTATCTAAGAAAAACATTACAGATAGAACACCTTTTGAAAAGATTTCACCAATTTGCAGGTACAAATTTCTAATTCCTTTATCCATATATTACTGTCTGCACTAAAATAACATCAGGAAAGGGGTTTAAGGAGGTAGGAGAGAGAAGAATTGAGATGAGTCAGGTAACGGGGTTAAAAAAAACCCTAGGCTAACATGTAATTAGTTTATAGATATGCCCTCCTCTTCCATATCCCTTAAGATGCCTTTAATTACTTTATCCTTCAAAGCTCTCCTTGATGTTGGAAGAGAGAAAGGGCTATGGTAAAACATCAAAAAGATTAAAGGACCAAATTCAAAAGAAATCTTTCCAAATCCTCTCAATTGGTCCTTGCAGGAATTTTTGAAGACTGGTACAGTGGTGGCTAATTCAGGGAAGAATCTTCAGTGAAATGCTCTTCTATGGCAGTTTGCAATAGGAAACCTCTCTACAAAGTCATAAAAGTGTGCCTACCCCCTGATTCTGGAATTGATATCTTAACTATAATCTGTATAAAGATGTTTATAATGGGGTTATTTGTCTTGATAAACTTTTGATAAACTTCATAAATGTCAAAGTGTTTCCATTTTTATAAAAAAATATTTTTAAAGTGTTTATGCATAGAAAACAACTAGAAAAGCAGACCTTAAAATGTTACTAATGATTGCCTTTGGGTAGTAGAATCATAGAAGTTCTTTGTAGTTTTCTAACTTTTCTGCATTGCAAATGAATTAGCTTTGTAATAAAAGGAGGGGGTATCCTATCCTCTCATAAGAAGTAACAATGCAGGTACATTATTTTTGCTTTTTCGTTTGTTTTGAAGACATCTGAGCTATCTTCAGTCACCCTTTAAAACCTCTTCTAAATTCTAAAAACATAAGCAAAATTATTTATTATGGCTAAGAGACTCATTTTAAATGGATCAATTTAGTATATGTATAACCCTGTATACATATAAAATATGTGCTATCTATATATACTTTACAAAACACTGGGACTCTACAATTACTGTATGCATACTTTTTAAGACTCATTTTAGGGATTCTGTGATATAGCAAAAAGTGCTCTTCGTTCTCTTGTATAGCACCCTATGTTCATCACTATCATAGTACTTATCACACTCTATGATTTTAAGTTTACTGGTCTTTCTCTTTTGACAACTGTTTGACTCTAGCATTTATGTTAATGCAGTGCATGGAACATAGCTGATGCTTATTATTGGATGGATGGACAGACGGATGGGTGAACAGACTCATGCACATATGCATACATGGATGGATGCATGGTCAAATAGATAATGGACCAAAGAATAGATAGTCACGTGGATAGACAGATGTATGGATAAAGGAATGAATGTACCAATGTAGACTTTTAGTCATGAAAGCCTGGTTCCAGTTCTAACTCTCTAATAATCATCTATGTAACAGGTCACTCTACCTTTCTAACTCTAACTCTCTTATCCACATACAAAATAAAAGTGATTAGACTTTTATTTTGTATGTAGACTTCTAGCTGACATTAGAAGATCCCTCCTAGCTGCTAAGTTAGATGACTAAGACTTAGCCATAATTTTTTCATTTTAAGAAACTAGAGAAGTTTGCTGGTGGATATCTTTGCTTTTTATAATCCTGTTGGTCATATTTAAGATTAAACCAATGCCAAATCTTTGACTGGGGTTCACTGCTGATCCTACCATCATTCCTGTATAAAACATGATGATTCACATTAAGGTGAAGGCTATGTGCTTTTTAGAATTGCAGTACTGTGAGGTGTAGAATGAGAGTCTCAAACACTAACCTACTAAGGGCAAACTAAATTTTCTTTCTTCAATCTATGACAAAACACATTCCAATCTACTGGTGACATTCTATCTTTAAAAAGGAAGAACTTAAAGGCTTTTTGCAAAGCAGTAAAACACAGTCCTTGATGATATAAATGTAGCCACTTACCTTTTACTTTTTTATCAAACTTCTTCTGTTTCATTTTTTCTCGGTTTTTCTGTCGAACTTCCTTGGCTTCTTCTAATGCTTCCTGACTTCCCCAAACTTCGAGAGCCCTCTTCTCAATCTACAACACAGAATCCATATTTAAATTAGTTGTGATTCAGCGTTATAAAATAAGTTATAATTATTAAATCTATAGGCACCTAAGAATGATCTAAGTACAATTTTATATTTAAAATTTACGATTTTAAATATTGACAAGAAACAACTCTATTAATACCTGTCTAAAGCTATGAAACCCTCAGTAAATATATGCTGAATTAGCTTATAAACAGAAAAGTTGTCCTCTGACTTTACTGTTTCTCTAATTCATTCAGCTTTTTCACATCAATCAATAGAAGTACATGTAGTCGGTGAGTCTGTTGAGTTTCAGCAGGCTCATCTCTCAAAATTTATTGACCAATTAGCCACATGAGAGCTAAGTATCAAGTAATCTCCAAAAATCCCCTAGCACAGAAAATCAATCACTACTACTCTTCTCCTCCAGAATCAATAATAGTTGCCATCTACTTGACTAACTTCTGATCTTTAGATATGCATTTTTAAAAACTCTGGTAGATGAATGACTTAAAAAATATTCTAGTTTTAAAACTCTGGGTTACAGATCTTTACTCTTTATAAAATTTATTTACATTTAGGAGAATAATAGACACATGAAGAATTGTACTCAGGATATCTGTTAAGGGGACCAAAATATCAATCAATGTAGCCAAACACAAATTTCTTGACATAATAAAATGATATATTCTCATTTCAAAAGTCCTAAAACATCACATTTTCCAAAATTTAACATCTCTGAAAATGCTGCATCATCAATGTGCTTAACAGTACTTTAACAACTCTGAGACTAAAGTGGTTCAGAAGAATTGGATTCTCAATACAAAGAAGGTTAGGAATACCTTCATAAAACTGTCGTACTTGCCTTTTCCTTTTTATGCTCACACAAGCATCATGTATAGCAAAAAACTATAGTAAGTCTAACAACACTATTTCAGTAAGTATAAAATAAAAGCACCAAGTGGTAAGAAAACATTAGGTCAGTTTAAATACTTTTACTTTTTAATGATACATAAAATAATGGTGATCAATAGTGTCCTTTGTTTAATAAAATTTAGTATATGTTTGGTTTTACAATGTGGTTTCTTGATTTTTGAAGATACTAAGATTTTCTGTATATTCTAATTCAAATTTCTCTAAAGCAATGCCTCCCAATATTTTTTATATAATGGCACAAAACTATTATGTTTGTATCATTCTGGGGTAGATACAGGAAGCTGCTTGTGACTCAAGGCAACCAGCCTGGACACGATAGCAGCCCTAGGCACTAAGTGTATTAAATATCTTGGCACATCTGTAACATAATTATAGCAAGAAGAGTTGAGAAGATCTGCTCTAGGATACACCAGAGTTACATGGACACTTGATAGGTTTCAGAAGAGTATTTCCCAAATGGATTTAGATTTTCGACATTTGTGAAATTTCTGAAATTTTTTATTTATTTATTTTTTTAAGATTTTGTTGGGGGTCAGGGAGTGGGCAGGAAAACAAGGTATGACTCTTACTCTCAGCTTTTTTAGTTTCTCATCTGTACTCCTAACATCATCCAACAGTAATAAATTTGCTCCAAAGTACCATACCAAAAAGCAAAATAAGAAAACATGTCATTAAATGTCACATATGACTATAACTCATATGTAAAGCAACCAAATGCAAAGGATCTTTTTAATTCTCCATAAGAAAAACAAAACTAATTACAACTAGTTCGTGTTTAAATTTTCACCTGTCCCAGGGTTTAAAATGACTGAATATAAATGACTAGAGACCTGTAATTTTAAGTAGAGTTTCATATCACCCCACTGAGAATGATGAGGATTCTTCTTCACAATAAATTTAAGAGCTGGTTCTCTTTTTTCTAAATCACAGTCTTTCAGAAGGTATTCTTGTTTTGCTTCTGTTTTAGTTATAAGCTTGTGTTTATCATCAGCATCTCTGAAAACAAATTAAGTCCATTATATAAGTTAGTTATTTTAAATAAATTAAGTTTTCAAATAGCCCAACAACCTGGGGCTGTGCATTCCAAAAGGAACATATAAAATACTTTTTCCCTGCAATTCTCATGGTCAAATTGCAACATAAAAATTCTAACAACAACAACAACAAAAAAAAAAATCCTTTATCTTTTACTTATTCTGAGCTTTATTTGCTGCAAATTCATGTCATTTAAGTTTATGAATTTTTTATTTAAATTCCTTCTTTTCCACAAAGGATTTGAAATGACTTATAAGAGCATGGCAAATATCAATGAGAGCTAACACTCAATAAGTAAAAATATATAAATTAAAGCATAAAGTCAGGATGGGCAGGACATAAGGAATATACACAATATGTAAGGTCTAACTGCCCCAACACAATTGAGTTTCCAGTTGTCTCTGAGCTTTTTCAACGCTAAAGTGAAAATGGAGACATAGTCAATTACACAGTTCTCATTCATCTGTTCTCTACCTACATGCATTCTTTGTTGTATTCCTCATGTTCAAAGCATGAGGAATACAGCAAAGAATAAAACAAAGCCTCATTTTCATGAAGCTTATATTCCAGTAAAGGAGAAGATAGTCAATAAGCAAACATAATAACAGATGTAAGTGCTATAAAGGAATATAAAGTATGGTAAAGGAACAGAAATTTTCAGATTGGGTAATCTGAGAAGGCCACTGATGAGGGGATATTTGAGTAGGGCCCTTAAGAAGTCAGGGAACATTCTGAATAGCTAGTGAAAGAACGTTAATACTGGAGAGAAGAGCAAATGCAAAGGCTCTAGGGCTGTTTGTGTGCTTTGCAACTGGGGCTCACAGTAAGAGGGCCGGTGTAACTAGAATGCTTAAAGTGACAAAGAGTGATGAGAGATAAAGTCAGAGATAGATAGGGGCCTTGTAAGCAACTTTATTCTAAATGGATCAGAAACCATTAAAGAGTTTTGAGTAAAATGCTATATGGAGAAGAGACTAATGGTGCAAAAGTGAGGGCAAGAGACCAGTTAGAAGGTTACTACTGCGGTGATCCAGGCAAGAGCTGACGGTGGCCTCGTCTAAGGTAATGGTGGGAGAGAGGATGAGAAGTGAATAGATTCAGGATATGGTCTGAACACAGAACCAAATGGATTTGGAATTAAACAAGGGATAGCCAATGAATGAAAATGGCCTTTACTGAAATGGTAAACACTTAAGAGAAGGGGTCTAGGTCAGGGAGGGGAGACTTAAAATTGGGAATACCTTTAAGAAAGCTAAATAATTTGAAGCATAAAGGAGGGAACAGGTAAACTACACTAAACTAAAATTACAATCTTCAAAGATGTTGAAAGGAAATAGAATGGAGGACTGTGTTCCTAGTTGTTTAAATTTAAAAAGTATATTTACTCCAGACTACCACACAACTTTCTTTAAATTGATACATCAGTTGCTTTCAATTTCTCATGGACATAAGATCATATGTGCTAATTCAGTTTCCAAAAGCTATCTGAACTTTAAAGAGAGTCGTAATACTATGGACTTCAACCACTCTGTGCACTAATGCCACTATACGTCAATGGGAATAGTTTATAATTTGTAATTCCAATAGGTGCCAGAATATTTCATCACAGATGTGATCATGAGACCAAAAACACCTCCCATTCTATCTTCCAAGGAGTTTATTCAGCAACGAGTCAATGGTGATGGCTCCTAACATCTGCAGCAGGGATGCTGAAAAAGCAGGTCCTCATGCAGGTGAGGCACTGATCTAGCGCTGGAGGTCTAAGAAACGGGAACAGGTAAGAGGGCTAAGTAAGAATCTAAGACAGGGTCTTAAGGTATGAGAGACACCAACACAGGACTTGGCTGAGATAAACAGTAGGGACAGGAGAACCATGTGGAGTGAGGAAGGTTATTGGGGCAGCGGGGATATAAAAAGAGGTTAGAGGCTAGGAGAAGGGAAAGGATGACAGAAGAATGTGATCTTCCTTCATCTATTCTCTTCCCTGACTGTTCATGAGAATAAAAACTGAATAGAAAGAGGTGTTCTGAGAGTACCAGAAGAGGGGCTGGAGGTTTGACTCCCCTCCTCTCACTGAACGCCCCAGTCCTCTGAGCAAGGTGTTGACTTACAGAAACAGGGAAATTCTTAGGGGATGAGGGGAGAGAAGGATTAGGAAACTGCCACTAAGGAAAAAAAAAAAAAAAACCAGACCAGAAGAAAGGAAAAAGACATATCTATGGCAGGACATAGTGCATTCCTAATGACGTGGAATATTATAACTTTGATAAGCAAAGGCTTCCTGTATTTCTCTGGCAAAATGGAAACCATAGAAATGTTAGGAACCCCCCAAATTAAAATCATAATTACTAAAATAATGTTAAATCCAAATGGATTGAATTGTTTTATCCTAGTCTATATGTAAACATTAGCAATTAGAAGATTGTCTAAAATAAGTACCTGCAGTTATCACAAGTTGCCAAATCAAAGTGGTTCATAAGATAAGAATCCATAAATTCTCTACTACATTCTTCGCATATTGCATAATCAAATTCCATAACAGGTCCTAAAGAAAAGAAGATTAATTCTTTAAGTTTTCTTTTTGGGGACTAAAACAACATATTTCTCTCTATTTTATTAGCTTTTCAACATACATTTTCTGCCAGACAAATACATTTACATAAAAGACAAAGTAAAAACTTGATTAATCTTACCTTTATCCAAAAAATTTTTCAAAAAAAAAAAGAAAAGAAAAAAGGAATAATATAAGGGGGAAAAAACTATCAATTCAAGTATTTCTGAATCCAAACCATGTGTAAAGTACTTGTATTAGTTTTGTACTGCTGTCGTTAACAAATTATCACAAACTTAGTGGCTAAAATAACACAAATTTATTCTCCTACAGATCTGTAGTTTATAGGTCTGATACAGGTCTCAGTGGACTAAAGTAAGGGTGCTGGCAGAACTACCTTCCTTTCTGGAGGTTTTAGGGGACAACCTATTATCTTACTATTCCTGGCTTCTAGAAGATGCCTGAATTCCTTGTCTCATAACATAGAAAAGAACACTAAAGAGCTAGACAACAGTAAAAGAGAGACAATGCAGAATTCACTTTCAAATGGAAAACTTTTTCTTTCCTCACATTACATCTCCTACCAACAGAGAAAACTGCTTTCTCTTCATCTGTCTCAACCACTAGATTATAAACTTCTTGACAATATAGAGTATTTAGCTATGCATCCTCAACGCCCAGCACAGAAACTACTCTGAGTAAATCTAGATTTTTTAAAGGACTTCAAATATCTAGTTAAGGATCTTTATTCTATAGAAGAGGTTTTCTCAGCAAGTCTGAAAGTCTTACTGAGTCTTTAGGTTGATTGCTACTGCCAAGCCCCAATTCTGAAAACTGCCATAACTGCCAATGGGAAGAAAAGGGGAGTTGTCATTTGCTCATGATTTGTTCAACATATTACAATCACTGCCTTACCTAATCTACTTCTAACACAAGAAAGTCAGTTAATAGTCTACCATCCACTAATCCCACTAATTTCCAAACTGTAAGAAAAAAAATCCCTCTTCTTTAAACAAAAGAATAAAAATAGAGTCAAAGTGGTATCTTCAAAAAACTGACTACCAGACTGTACTGGAATGGAGAGAAACTGTACTCAGAAATACCAATTAGGAGACTACTATACAGCATTATTAATCAACAGTCAATAGCCATAAAGTGTGGATATATTTTCCTAATTTAAAAAATTTATAATGCAAAATTTTAAATATACAGAATGATTTAACTCCACCAATCCCTTTACATTCACCATTGAGAAACTGGCAGTCTACTCTAAGCAAGCGCCTTCCTTCTCTCCCATTTATGTATCTATTTATTATTGATATAGATTCATAGAGTCCTATTTTTTCAATGGTATATATTCATTAGTGTTCTAAATTACTTTGGTGCTTGAATTGTCTCAGATTTAGCCACTGGGAGCCCTCTCAAACTGGCTCCTATGTTCTTATAACACCCTTCTATCACTTTTTGGACACTTTCAGATTTTCTGACGTTACATAATGTTCCAAGCTCTTCTTGTAGCCACCCTGCACTAACTGTGGAATCAGATATTTCTCCGAAGGGCCCTGGTTCCTTTTAGTAAGGAACAGTATCAGAGTCCAAGATCTGGTCACCAAGATCTACTCATGCTCCTTGGGCTATCTTTGCTTCAAGGCACTGTGGACATAAACACACACACTCACTCACTTGTACATAAACACAAACACACTCACTCGTACGTGCACATGTACACTTTTAATTGAGGTATAACTGATGTATATTATAATGATCTCAGATGCATAACAATGATTGGATATTTGTATATATTCATAATGATCACAGTAAGTCTAGTTAACATGCAACACCATACACAAATTTTGTGATGAGAATTTTTAAAATCTACTCTTAGCAACTGTTAAATATGTAATAGTGTTATTAACTATAGTCACCATGCTATACATTATATCCCTATGACTCATAACTGTAAGTTTGTACGCTTTGACCCTTCACCCATCCCCTAGCCCCCATCCCCCTGCCTCTGGCAACCACCAATCTGTTCCACTTAGCATAATGCCTTCGAGGTCCATCCATATTGTTGTATATGGCAAGATTTCCTTCTTTTTATGGCTGAATACTATTCCATTGTGTATATATACTACTTTTCCTTTATTTATTCATCTGCTGATAGACATTTAGGTTGTTTCCATATCTTACCTATTGTAAATAACACTGCAGTGAGCATCAAAGTGCATATATCTTTCTGAGTCAGTGTTTTCATTTTTTCTGAATAAATACCCAGACCTGGAATTATTGGATCATATGGTAGTTCTCTGTAATTTTTTGAGGAATCTCCATTCTGTTATCTTTTGGTTTCTAGCCTCTCATTTCAGCCTATCGAGATAATTTTGAGGATGTAATCTATCAGTCATTGGCTGTCTCTACCATTATAGAATGAAAGAGAGTGTCTACCCTAAGTACAACAGTTCCTTGAATAACACTTCATTCAACATCATTTTATTATAACATTGATGAGTTGCCAGAGGAACTTAATTCTGGTTTAAATCAATTAGCCTACGGTAAAACTGGTTTTGTTTCACATCATTTCACTTAAAGGTGCAGAACCTATCAATGGCATTGAGGCCTTTACACAAAACTCAAGTTAAATTAATCACTGCCAAATCTGTTCAATTTTTAACCTACTAGCAAAACTTCCAAACTTTATCACTCTTACAAAACAAACATGCTCATTGACTAAAATATGTGTGGCAACTTATTTATGTAACATCGGTTTGCAAATAATTATGCATGTTACTCAAAATGACTAACCTAGATACCTATTTTCTGAAAACACACTTTACCTGGTTGATGAACAACATTCCCAATTGTATGTTTTTCTTCTTCTTCCTCTTCCAGAATGAAGCCTCCTCTTGTGTCAATTATCTTTGGGGCTGCTTTTACATTAGCCATGCCTATAAAAAGTAAGTAAAAGAGGTCAACAATTGAACTAGGTAAGCCCATATGTTCCCATGTGCATAAAAAGGAACTTTCTTTAAATTTAATATGTATCAAACAAGATAAGGAATGTCTACTGTTACCACTTTTATCCAACATTACACTGAAGTGTTGCAATATGGCAACAAAACAGGCATAAAGTTTATCAAGAAGTAGAACAGTCTTTATTCACAGATGACGTGATTATGTATGCAGAATATCCACAGGCATATACAATTAGAATTAAGAAATAACATCTAGGGAAGAGATGTGTAAACCTCTACACTGAAACCACCACTAAGAGAAATCAAAGACCTAAATAAATGGAGAAATATACCATGGACGAATTGGAGGCCTCTATTTGTTAAGATATCAATTTTCCCCAAATTCATCTATTCGATGTGATCTCAGTCAAACCCCAGCATTTGGGGGCAGGGCGGGGGGGGAGGAGGTTTGAGGTGGGAGCTGACAAACTGATTTTAACACTTATATGTAACAACTGAAGAATTTACACTACAAGATTTAAAGATTTACAATAAAAATTCAGTAATTAAGATAGTGTGATGCTGACACAAAGACAAAGAGATCAATGGAATAGGAGAGAGAGTTCTGAAATAGACATACATATATTTGGTCATTTAATTTACAGCAAAGGCTCCAAGGCAATTAAGCAGGAAAAAAAATCTTTTCAGTAAATGGCAGTGTGATTTATGACAAAGGCTGGACTACAAATCAGTGAGGAAAAACTGGTCTTTTCAATAAATGAACTTTAACTCTACCTCATACAATATACATACAAAAAAATTTAATGGCTCATAATCTTGAATGTGAAAGGTAAAACAATAATGCTTCCAGAAAAAAAACATAGGAAAATAATTTCACAAACTTGAGGTAACCAAAAATTTCTTAGTAGCCGAAAGTACTAACCATAAAAAAAAATTACTAAATTAGTCTTGATTAAAATGAAAAACTTCTATTAGTCAGCAAAAGACCACTATGAGAGTTAAAAAAAAGACAGGATGCAAATTGGGAGAAGCTATTTGCAATATGTATACCTGACAAAAGATTGAGATTCAAAATATGTAATAAAATCCTATAAATCAATAAAAGGCAAATAAGCCATTTTTTTTTTTAAAAAAGGGCAAAAGACCCGAATAGGAATTTCATATGAGGATATCAAAATAGCTAGTAAGTATATGAAAAAGTTATCATCACACTGGTCACAGGGAAAATACAAATTAAAACCATAATAAAATATTATTATACTCTCACAAAAAAGTAAACAGTGCTCTAAAGTGACACATAATACCAGATAGAATTAACTATTTTTAGGACATCACGAAAAAGCAGAATATACATTCAAGTGCACGTGGAACACTGTCTAGGACAAACATGACACAAAACAAGTGTTAATAAATTTAAATCATACCAAGCATCTCCTCTGATCAAAATAGTATAAAACTAGAAATCAGCTACAAGAAGAAAACTGAAAAACACACAAATACATGGAAGCTAAATAACATGCTACTAAACAAAGAATGGGCTAATAACGAGATCAAGGAATCAAAAGATTCCTTGAAACCAAGAAAAATATGACAACACAAAATCTATGGGACATAGCCAAAATAGTTGTAAGAGGGAAACTTACAGCAATACAGGCCTATCTCAAGAAACAAGAAATTTATTAAATTAACAATCTAACCTTACCCTAAAGGAACTAGAAAAAGAACAAAGCCCAAAGTGGGCAGAAGGAAGGAATAATAAAAATCAGTAGAAATAAAGAGAATAGAGTTTTAAAATACAATAGAAAAGACCAATGAAAGCAAGAAGAAAAAAAGGGCCCAAATAAAAAAAAAAATCAGAAATGAAAGAGAAGTGACAACTAACACTAAAGAAATACAAAGGACTATAAGGAAATACTACATACAATTATAGGCCAACAAATTAGACAAACTTTAAGAAATGGATAAATTCCTAGAAATCTTCCATGGCTGAATCAGGAAGAAATATAAAATCTAAAAAGACCAGTAACTGCTAACAAAATCAAATCGGTAAACAAAAAACTCTCAACAAACAAAAGCCCTGGGCCAAGTGGCTCCACGTTTAAATATTACCAAACATTTCAAAAAAAAACTGAAGGGGATGGATGGCTCCCAAACTCATTTTACAAGGCCAACATTACCCTGATATGAAAACCAGAGACACTACAAAAAAATGAAAATTACAGGCCAATATCCTGATGAACATTGGATACAAAAATCCTCAACGATATATTAGCAAATCAAATTCAGCAATACATTAAAAAGTTCATACACCATGATTGAGTGGGATTTATTTCTGGGATGCAAGGCTGATTCAATATCCACAAATCAATTCACATGATACACCACATACACAAAACGAAGGATAAAAATCATGATCATATCTATAGATGCAAAAAAAAGCATTTGACAAATTCCAAAATCCACTTATTAAAAAAACTCTCAGCAAAGCAGGGATAGAGGGAAAATACCTAAACATAATAAAAGCCATGATTGACAAACCTACAGCTAATATCAAACTCAATGCTGAAAAGCTGAAAGCTTTTTAACATCAGGAAGACAAGGATGTCCACTTTCACTTTTATTCAACATAGTACTGTAAGTCCTAGCCACAGCAATCAGACTAGAAAAAGAAATAAAAGGCATCCAAATTGGAAAGGAAGAAATAAAACTGTCATTATTTGCAGATGACATGATACTATATACAGAGAACCCTAAGTAGTCCGCCAAAAAAAAAAAAAAAACTATTAGAATAGATAAATTCAATAAAGTAGCAAGATAGATTAATATTCAGAAATTGGTTGCATTTTGATACACCAATAACAAACTATCAGAAAGAGAAATTAAGAAAACAACCCCATTGACAATTCCATCAAAAATAATAAAATACCTAGGAATGAATTTAACCAAGGAGGTAAAAGACCTGTACTCGGAAAACAATAAGATACTGAAAAAAAAAATTTTTTTAAATACAAATAAATGGAAGCATATACCAAGCTCATGGATAGAAAGATTTAACATCATTAAAATGTCCATACTACCCAAATCAATCTACAGATTCAGTGCAATTCCTATCAAAATACCACTGGCATTTTTCACAGAACTATAACGAATAACCCTAAAATTTGTATGGAACCACAAAAGACCCAGAAGAGATAAAGCTCTTAAAGAAGAACAAAGTTGAAAGTATCACACCACCTGATATCAAACTATACTACAAGACTACAGTAATCAAAACAGCATGTTACTGGCATAAAAACAGACAGATCAATGGAACAGAATAGAGAGCCCAGAAAGAAACCCACACCTATATGGTCAATTAATCTATAATGAAGGAGGCAAGAACATACAATGGGATAAAGACAGCCTCTTCAATAAATTGTGTTGAAAAAACTGGATAGATACATGCAAAAGAATGACACTGGATCACTTTCTTACATTGTATACAAGAATAAACTCAAAATAGATTAAAGATTTAAATGTAAAACCATTTAAAACCATGAAACTCTTATAAGAAAACAGGCAGTAAACTCTTTAACACCGTTCTTAGTATTTTGGGGGATGTGTCTCCTCCAGGTGGAGAAACAAAAGAAAAAACAAACAAATGGGACTATATAAAACCAAAAAGGTTTTACGCAGTCAAGGACATCAACAAAACGAAAAGACAACCTACTGAATGGAAGATATTCACCAATGATACATCCAATAAGGGGTTAATATCCAAAATATATAAAGAACTCATACAACATGACACAAAAAAACAATCTGATTTAAAAAATGGGCAGAGGACCTGAATAGACATTTCTCTAAAGAAGACACACAGATGGCCAATAGATATATGAAAAGATGCTCAACATCACTAATCATCAGAGAAATACAAATTGAAACCACAATGAACTATCACCTCACACCCGTCAGAACAGCTATCATCAATAAATCAACAAACAAGTGTTGGTGAGGATGTGGAGAAAAGGGAACCCTCGTGCAGTTGGTAGGACTGTAAATTGGTGCAGCCACTATGGAAAACAGTATGGACATTCTCCCCAAAATTAAAAATAATATATATGACCCAGCAATTAAACACTTCTGGGTATTTATCCAAATAAATCCAAAACACTAATTCTAAAAGCTATATGTACCCTTATGTTCACTGCACTATTTACAATAGCCAAGATATAGAAGCGACCAAAGCTTCTATATCGATATACAAATGGATAAAGAAGTACATCGATAGACAAATGGATAAAGATGTTGTACATATATACAATGGAATATTACTCAGCCACAAAAAATGAAATCTTGCCATTTGTGACTAAATGGATGAACCTAGAGGGTATTATGTTAAGTGAAATAAGTCAGAGAAAGACAAATATCGTATGATTTCACTTAAATGTGGAATCTAATAAATAAAACAGAAACAAACTCATAGAGAACAAAATGGTGGTTGTTAGATGGGAGGGGGTGGGGGAAAGGTGAAAAAGGTGAAGGAATTAAGAAGTATAAACTGCCAGTTATAAAAACAATCACAAGAAAAGAAATATAGTCACTAATATTGTAATAACTATGTGTAGTGTCAGATGGGTACAAGACTTATCAGGGTGGTCACTTTGTAAGTCATATAAATACCTAATCACTATGTTGTACGCCTGAAACTAACATAATATTGTATGCCAGCTGTAACTGAAAAAAAAAATGTTCACAAAGGTTTTCTTCATAATAGCCCCAAACTGCAAACAACCCAAATAGCCATTAAAAGGAAAATGGAAGAACTGTGGTATAATAATACAAAAGAATGCTGTACGATGTATAAATGAACGAACTACCAATACATGCAACAACGTGGATGAATCTCTTAAATACTATGTTCAGCAAAAGAAGGCAAGCACTGTATGATTCCATTTATATGAAGTTCAAAAAAGGTACTACTACTAACCAAACAGTCACAACTGTAGGTATGTCTGAGGACAGGTGGTTGACTAAGAAGTGGCATTCGGTAACCTTCTAAGGTTCTTGAAATTATATATTGATCACTGTGGTGTTTACATAAGCATTTACATAGGTTAAATTAGGTGAGTACATTTTACATATCAATGTATATAGGTTATAACTCATTTTTTTAAAAAGGCAAATTTAATAGTGTTAACTTGCTTAAGTTACTCCCCGTTTCTGGCCTCAATTTCTTCCTCTATTAAACAAAGGGATTAGATTATAAAAAGCCTGTTTCTACTGTTAATAGCAATTCTCATGCTATGTTCCACATCCATTTAGTAGATGCTCCTCAACTTATGACAGTGTTGTGTCCAGATAAACCCATAGTAAATGGAAAATATCATAAGTCAAAAATGCATTTAATAACACGTAGTTTTCCACTATCCTCCCTTCTTGAATGTCCATGGTTTTTTTTTTTGGTCCAACACATTTTGTTTCTGCATGACTGTGTTTTTTTAAATCCACATCTCCCCTCATACTGTTCACATTTAAAAGAAAATGCATTTAATACTAGAGTATCAGTTGTTTACCCTCATGATCATGTAGCTAACTGGGAGCTGTGGCTCACTGCCACTGCCCAGCAACACGAGAATATAATACTGCCTATTGATAGCTCAGGAAAAGATCAAAATTCAAAGTATGGTTTCTACTGAATGCATATAGCTTTTGCACCATAAGTCAAACCACTATAAATCAGAGATTGTCTGTACATATCTAGAAACCTTTATGGAATCATGAATATGAATTAATCAATGCAAATGAACAACTTTTGATCCTGACTCTAGAATGCCTCAAGCTGAAAAAAGAAAACCATGAGAAAGCAATGAGACCAGAACGACTAAAAGCAGCTGGAATTTGCAGATTCAGTGTCAATATGAATATGAAGACATGCAGCCAGCCTGAGACTCTTCTCATTCTTCCTTACTTCTGGCTCATGAAAAAGGATAGCAGATGACACTGCTTTAAACTGTGCTCAACTACTCACACAATATGGGATATAGCTTAGAAACACATGTACTTATTATAGATAGTCGTGAACACCTGCATATCAACCAAACTATATTTTAGGAACCCTGGGGAAGATTACTGCTTGACCACAGTAGAGAGAATTATATAAGATACATATATACAGATACATACATACATGACAGGCGGCCAAGGGCTACCCTAAGAGAGGAAGAAGAGGAAATCCGGACAAGAGTTAACAGCCTTCCCTCTTATGAACTGGAGAGATGCCTAGTGTAGCAGAGGCAACTGGTGGCAAAGAAAGGCCCTGAACCCAGCGTCAGATGATCTGAGTTCCAATCCTGATTAGCCTGTGCACTTGCTGGAATGAACCTGAGAAAACTTCTTTCCTTTTCTGGTCCTCAATTACCACCTTATTAACAGGGATACCAAATCCTGCCCTAATGATTTTCCAGGTTAGCTTGAGAATCAAATTAGCTCATCTGAAACATGTAAAGCACAACAGCTGCTACTATGTTAGCCTCATGAAGGCGGTAGGTATGTCTCCTTGCTCTTCTTGGAGCTTTGTAGATAGCAAGCACTGTGCTGGACAGGGAATATGCACTCAATCGCCCTTTGAGGATGAATGAGGGAGCAGGTGCTGATTACTGAAATGGGTTACAGGTCTAAACGCTTTACAGAAAGACCACCTCCAGGACCGGTAGAGGTTGCAAGAAGAGAAGAGAAAGGGAAAGCTGAAACGCTAACTTAGGGCACTGGCTGGCACCTCCCAATGAGGGGGTGGGGGGCGGCTGCATCCCAAAGCTAAAGACAGCAACTGGACCGCCCAGGTGCGGTGAGGAAAGCCCGGGACTGCGGGTCAGGATTCTACCACGGAAACGGCCTTTGGTTTGGAACAGCTTTGCTTCGACAAGACTCGCTGAGCAGATTCCCTCCTGGGACGGGGAAGGGTGTGCACGCAGACGCGAGGGGACCCGACGCCACACACGGGGCGCGGTACCCGGCCTGCCAGGAAAGGGAAGGGGCAGGCGCCGCCAGGGCCCAAACCTCCGGTAGCCGCAACCGCCGTCGCCGCGTAGGGCCGGGCGGCCAGCCGGGCCTGGCGCAGCATCAACGCCCGCTGCCGCTTCCGCTCGATGCTCGCCCGCAAAGAGGCTGGCAGCTCCGCCGACTGTTCTGAAGCCGCCGGCTCCGGCGAAGTTACCTCGGCCGCTGCCATCTCCAACTCGGAGAACCGTGGCCCTGCCCCAGCGCACGCGCATTGGCGCGGCGAAGCGTTCCCACAGCCCCGCCTCCGTGCCATTACCGCCTCCGCGCAGGCTCCACGGGGAGGGAGTGCGCCTGCGCAGTTTGAAGCGACTCAGGTGGACGGAGTCTGCGCACGGGTCGGAGCATGAATACGTGCTAGCTTGTAACCTGGGAGAAGGGTGGGTAACAGAGCTCTCTTTTTTAGGACCTGGTCATCTTTAAAATAATAGTTTCGCTTGGTGGTTCAGAATATGGGCTTTGGAGTCATACCTAGATGAAGTCCCAGCTCTGACACTTACTGTCTGCGTGATCCTGAATAAGTTATTAACCTGAGTCTAGTTTCTTCAGTAGTAAAATGAGGATAATTACGAAACCACTTCCTCGGTTGCTGGGAACATTGGATGTAAAAACTTTCGGCACAATGCCCGGCACAAGCTTACAAAAAATGATGGCAGCTGGTAGTAATAATGTCAATCAAGAGAAACCAACAGGTGATTGATCTGACTTGACTTTGAAGGCATGGCCTAGCGGACAGAGGCTTAGATTTGAAATGAGAACACCTGGTTTCAAACTCGTAGTGGCAGGCAAATGCAACACCTGGTAAGAACCAAGGCTGGTCTGCATGAGCTTGGCTATTTTTTCCATGGAGTATTCCTTCAGTGTGAGTGAGCTGCCACTGGTAGACAATAGTTTTGGATTGGCACCAAATCCTGACTCCCCAAAAGTGTGGCAAATGGAGCAAAAGAAACAGTGCATGCTTTTCTAAAACTATGTGGTTTTTTTTATTACAAGTAAAATTGAAATCAGAAAACATTAAGTTCTAATCATATACCATTTAGGACTAATTTTTAGAACAATCTGGCACATTGAGATTTCCCATTAATACTCAATGGTTAAGGTTTGAGAAGCACAACCTAGTGGTTTTAATCTATTGATTATATATATATATATATTTAAGTTGTAGAACCTTATATAAAGTGGATAAATGCTCATATCTTCTGATTGAACTGGAGGGAGAGACTTCAAGCTGTTACTATTCCCTATCCCATCAGATCCCTCTTTCTCCTGACCCATTGATCTTGTCCAGGTGATTAAAATTTCAAATTCCATATAATACCAAAACTACAAGCAAAAAAAATTAAAAATTAGATAAACTGAAATTTTTTGCATCAAAGAACACCATCCAGAAAGTGAAAAGACAACTCAGAATGAGAGGTAATATTTGCAAATCATATCTGAAAAGTCTGGTATCCAGAAAATTTAAAGAATTCTTACAACCCAATAACAAAAAAGGCAATTAATCCAGTTTTTAAATAAGCGAAGGACTTAAATAGACATTTTTCTAAAAAGGATATACAAATGGCCAATGAGTACATGAAAAGATATCATTACTCATGAGGGAAATGCAAATCAAAAGCTCAATTAAATGCCACTTCACACCCAATAAGATGACTAGAATTAAAAAAAATAGTGTTGACAAACGTGGGGAAATCGGAACCCTTATGCATTGCTGATGGGAATATTAAATGATGCTGCCGTAGGAAACAGTTTGGCTATTCTTCAAAAAGTTAAACATAGAATTACCATATAAGTCAGCAATTCCACTCCTGGAATTGAAAACAGGTGTTTGAACAAAAACTTACACACAAATGTTTATAGCAGCACTATTCACAATAACCAAAAGCTTGAAACTACCCAAATATCCATGAAATGATGAATGAATAAACAAAATGTGATATATTCGCACAAAGGAATATCATTCAGCCATACAAGGAAGGAAGTACTGAATCTCGCTACAACATGGACAAACCTTGAAAACATTATGCATTTCTTTTATATGAAACATTCAGAATAAGCAAACTCATACTAACAGAAAGCAGATTAGTAGTTGCCAGGTGCTGAAGGAATTGGGGACTGGGGAATGACAGCTTAATAAGTATGGGGTTTCCTTTGAGGGTAATGAAAATATTCTAGAACCAGACAGCGGTAATAGTTGCACAACACTGTGAATGGTAAGAAAGAATGGTAAATTTTATAATAAATTTAAAAACAACTCAAATTCTGACTGGACCTAGGCAAATAGTGGAAGTTAATGAACCTCTCCAGGTATGGGACTTGGGCAAACTGAAGTGCGAGGGCACCTCTTAAAGAGGACAGCTACTACACAGCTTCCTTAGGTAGCTCAAGACAGAATTTGGACACATGTTGCCAGATTGCCCAGTGCTTCAAGAAAAGTAACTGCTTCTCAAACTTTAATGCACATATGAGTCACCTGGTGATCTTGTTAAAATGCAGATTCTGATTCAGTAGGTCTATGGTGGGACCGGAGAATGTGCATTGCTAACATGCTCCCTGGTGGAACTGCAGCTCTACTAACCACACTTTGAATAGTAAGGGTCATGCTCACAGGTTCTCAAGCTTGGCAAGCACATTAAAAGCATCTGGGGAGTTTAAATAAGACTGATGCTGAGGCTTCACCCCCAGAGATTGTTGTCATTGGTCAGGGGTAGGATCTGGTCATTGGAATTTTGTAAAGCACATTCCCTACCCCCACACCCCCACCCTCAGAGAATTCTGATGGGCAGCAAGCTTTGAGAGCCAGAACTTTAAATGACCCCTCTAGACTACACAACTCTAAGGGTCTCTGAGGCTGTGCAGTATTTCTAGAGAAGAAGGTAACAGTTCTCCCCCAGGGTAACTCTTTGAGAATAATTAGCGCCTAGAACCTCCTCTCCAACAAAGCATTCCAAGCTTGAATACTGAAGGGCATGGACCACAGCTCAGATGCTGTACAAGCCCCGGGTGTTTTGTAACTCTTGACAACCTGTTGGTTTTCTTTTGATGGGTAACTCCCTCTCCTTTGGCTTCCTGACCTTTGTTAGTAAGTTTCGTGTAACTGGATCTGAATTGTTAGGTGACGCCTCATCCAAGCTAAAAGGAGACTCCTCCTTTAGAGAAAGGAAGAGGAGTGCATGCCCTGATCTGTACATCCCACATAGTGACAGAAGCTGTAGGGCTTGCCCAGAGCACAGCAGCATGAGTCACCTCGGTGGGGGCACAAAAGGAAAAACAGACAAGGAGAACAGACCAGTGAATGTGTTCTTGCCTCTCCCCATTCAGTCTCGGGGAAAACCTGTGACCGCATCTATCTTCCTGCTTTGTACCTCTCTCATCTCCCAGACCAACTATGATCTCGACTGAAAGAGGGGTAATTAACAAAGCACAGAAAGAATGGAAAGCCCTAACCTGATCCTGAAAAAGAGCAGGCAGGTAAGAATGAAAGCCAGGAAGGGGAATGAGAAACTTGGCAGTGTTTCCTGACAGGGCCTCCTAAGAGCATTAGTGGCGTTATTCATGCTCAGATGACAGGATGTGAATATATTTGTCTTTATTATCAAGTAAATAGTAAATGTGTGTGGCTTTCTTTTTCATTTTTGTTTTCCCCCTGATTTCCTGGGGCTTTAACCCTTAATGTGGTCACTTTGAACATCGTTGGCATAAATTCACAATAAGAGAACATCTGGTGGGAAGGAGCACACCAAGGGGGAACTGTCTGGGACAAGGACGCAGCAACAGAAATTAGCCTGATCCTGTTGACTTAAGCTGTATTGATTTAGTAATCCAGGAAATACAGTCTCTTTTTGCTGTGACTGACCAGGCAAACGCTCCCAGAGAAATTTAGATTTCAACCTCCTTGAACCAAAAGATAAAGGGATTGAGGCAAAAACATCATATTGGAAATTTGATCAATAAAATATGTGTGCAAAGGGATTTAGAAAACATCTTAAAGACTCATAAGAATTTTCTTTCCAAAAGCAATAAGCAGTGGGAAGGTCCAAATGATTCAACTAAGGACAAGTCCTAGGAAAAATGACTATCAACACTAGAAGCCAAAATCCTATGTCACTCATGGACCTTCCCTACTGTGCAGTCCCCAGATCCAGAATGGCCCAAGGGACCTTTTTTCTTACTGCTTCTTTCAGGAAGCCTACCCAGACTCCCTTCTCTAGCTGCCGTGAACCTCATATGTGCTGGTGCTGTAGTATTTCCCACACCGGAGGCGATACCTACCTGTTCTTACTAGATTATCAGGTCCTTGAGAGGTGGGACCATCTGATTCATCCCAATATTTCCAGGGCCTACCACAGTATCTGACACAGAATAGCTGCTCAGTAAATGTTTGTAGAATTAAATAAAATGAATAATGCTGAATAGTTGGATGTTTCACCAGTACTGAAAAACTCAAGATCAAAGGCTGAAACGTACAACCACCTTGGTTTTGCTTATACACCTATGATGATAGGGAATACTCTACTTCAGAATAGCTTATTCCATTGTTGTCTAGCTTTAACCATTACCTATTACAATAATAATAACAGTAATAATAATAATAGTAGCAAACTTTTATATTGGGCTTACTATATGGTAGGTGGTTTTTTAAAGCATTTTCAATTTACCAACAATCTAATCTTCTTAACTACTCAATAAGTATTTTCACTAATCCCAGTTTATAGATGAGAAAACTAAGGCACAGAGATGTTCAATAACTTGTTCAAGGTCATCAGCTAATAAGTGACAGAGCTAGGTTCAGCCACGCACAGCCCAGCCCCAGTATCAATATTCTCAACCACTAAACTGCATAAGTCTCTAAATTAGAACAAGTCTTCATCTTACTTCTTCCACTAGTGCTAATTCTCCCAGAGTTAGTGCAGAGCTGGAATGAGAAACTGAGTCCTTAAAAAACTCTACGTGGCTAACCAAATGGCTTGAGTCCGAGAGGACTGTCTGCCTGAAGCCTGGTGCCAGAGGTGTTGTTGTCCGTCTTAGGTAGGACCAGGGGAGGATGACTGTGGTCCAGGGTTCATCCATCATGTGGATGAACTCCAATCCACATAATAGAGTTATAGTCTTGTGGTTTCCTGTTTTCTTATTACCCCCAATTGGGGTTTTCCTTTCAATTACCTTTCTAATAAATGTGGTTACAGCTTCCAACCACAAACCACTTATATTTTATTGGCCAGTACTTCCTCTAATAGTAA